CAGTGCAGTAAAGCCCAGTGAGATCAGGGTAAAAGCACAGTCCAGTGCAGTAAAGCCCAGTGAGATCAGGGTAAAAGCACAGTGCAGTGCAGTAAAGCCCATAGAGCACATTGGGATGAAAAGCCTGTCAGCCGCTCTGTGGTGCTGCGATGGGTTGAGGAGGGTGGGTGATTAGGTATGAGCAGGCTGCAGAGTCTGGTGCTGTGTCTGAGCTCCGTGACCTCTGTCTCCTGTACAGTCCTGCTATGAGTGATGGAGCAGAACAGCGCCACCCTTCTGGTCCTGGTGTGTCTCCTGCAGCACGGTAAGACTTTGTGCCAGGTGACGGCAGCAGTAGGGACCCACACCTCAAGCAGTTTTACTACCAGCTGAAATCTGGATTCAGATCAGCTCCTTTTCCTCAGCGAGCTGATTGAAAACCAGCAGGGCTCTGTCATCCAAGCACAGGAGCTGCACTTGTCCCTCTGCAGCTGCTCAAAGATCAGGGTGATCTGTGTAGGCAGGGACAGCGTTAAAACGTTCTGGGTAACCCGGAATCTCTCTCTGTTTAACAATTAAAAACAAGTCAGAAACTGTGCAATGAAGAAAGTGTGGCAATTTGGGAGAGCTCAGTAGAACTGAGGGCAGAAGGGCCTCGCTGTCCGGGGAGCATAGTTTGAGACGCGCCTCTCTGATTCCAGAGCAGAACTGAGCAGTCCAGAATAACGGGGATAAGATGAACAGAACTCCATTAAAATTAAGCTGAATTTTTCTAATGAACTTCCACTAAGACACATGTTTACACTGATTGCTTAAATAATGGATTGGTTTTGTAAAAAGTCCTTCAAGATCTGAGGGACCCTGATGGGCTTTTTCTCTCTGTATTTCAGCTCTGGCAGGGGAGGTTTTGTGCCTATGGGAGCGCTATTTCCACCTGGGCCATAACGTGTCTGGGGCATGTCAGTTACAGGGCTCATTGCTGCCCCCTGGGTGTGACTCCAGGGCACTGCAGCTGGCCGCGGATGGCCAAACGCTCTCCCCACATAGCCACACCCACAATCACATCGCAAATTTCACTGTCATCCGTCCCCCGGGACCCCAGCTCCACTTACGCTGTGAGATCACCTGCCCTGGACTGCAGCCCCGCCCACATTGTGACATCACACTCCTGGGAGGAAGTGAGTATGACATCACAAATTACTTTGTAAGAAGGGTATTTTTATCTTTTGTGTTATGGGTTTTTCTTTTACATGTTGCATGTTGCAGACTGAGAGCAGTAGATACTGAAGTAGAACAGTAGACACAGTGAGTCTGGAAGGAGTTGTGCTCTCGGGATTATGGGATTACTAATAGACATAAGAGGGGATACAGGCCAGACAGTGAAGCAGTCTCACACTCCTGCGGTCTGGGCTTGTGATTCGGTCCTGCCCAGGCAGGGATCTGGGCCTGTGAGAGGTGGAGAGGAAATGGCTCTTATCTGTGGGAACGATACGAGTGCAGGGGAGTATCCAGACTTGTTGCTCTTGGCTCTTCTGCCAGATTAACGATGCACAGCCCTCCCTCGCGTCAGACCTTGATGGGACTGTGCTCACGTGTTCATGTCCAGTTGAAAAAGTTGAAAAAAGAGTTCGGAGTGGACAGGTAGTTTTCTGTACCTCTCTTGTCGCAGATCGGACCGGTCCTGGTGTCTGGGCTGGGCTGCACCACTCCGATCAGGTCCCAGCGGGGCAGTGGGCTGTGGAGGGGTAGTGGGGCACGTGGCTGGGGTCAGTGATGGCAGGAGTGAAGTGTGCCAATCCGAGGGCAGCTCGAGTGAGCTCAGAGCTCAAAGAGCAGCTCGAGTGCTGTGATCCCACACCTCCGGCTTCAGCCTGACCTCTGTCAATAGCCCCTAGACAGAGTACCCTTGGCAAACTGCTCGAGAGCGCCGCCCTTGTGGCAGCCTGGGGTACATGCGAGCTTGCTGTGAGAGACGTGTATCAGTTGCTTTCTCCTGTGAGTCAGTGTGGGGCAGCTCGTCAGCATGAGCAGCTACAACATCTCGTAGGAAACCTAAAGGGCACAAGACGCTGGTGGGCTTTCTGTACGCTGACCCTCTCCCCTCTGTCCTGCAGGGACACCCCGCACCCCCTCCACGCCTCAGTGTGTCATCCCCCCTGGCAGCACAGACATGAACTGCTCCTGGAACTGGAGCCCCTCTGCCCTGCAGGAGCTTCTCCACACCAACCTGACCCTGCACCTGTACTCCTCCCCCAGGTCAGCATGGCTCTGGGGCAGATCACTGGGGAGCAGCTCTAAGCTCTGGGGCAGATCACCGGGGAGGAGCTCTGGGGCAGATCACTGGGGAGCAGCTCTGAGCTCTGGGGCAGGTCACTGGGGAG